AGTTGTCCCTATAATATTTTCCCTCCATTTACATCTCTTCCTATACTTCTCTCTCAACTAAAGTCGAATAAGGTTTTTGAATAAAAAAAAGGCATCTTTTATAGACTTCGCATCTAATATTGATGAGAATTTTGCGAAAGCTTCAGAAGGAGTGGTATCTTATCAAAACATCGTGTACCTATGAGATGTTCAAAGCCATTCAAAGGAAATAATAAAATCTCTAAATTGTCCCATATCTCTCTTTGTATCTCATGATCTTTTCATATAGCGTAAAACGTTCCGATAGAATTCGTACTCGCTTCAAAATAATGGGTTCCAACCTTGCGCGGGATGCGTCGAGAAATTAGAGTGATCAAATTTATGAAGCACCTAAGAAATCAGTATTTATTTATTTATTATTACTCTTACATGTATAATGTAGAATGAGAATACTAGTCCAATGCACAAGAATAACAATGTAAGATTAATGATGTCCACACTTTACTTAGCCAAGAGATAACAAGCTATAAACTTTCGACATCAACCCACGTGGTTCAATAAGCCTCGGTCACTGGTGGAAAGTTTTGGCACAAATTGAGATAAGATATGGTAAAGGATCCAATGCCCTCACATTCTCTCAAGCCTTAACCGTCATCACACAAATTAAAATGTTGAATGGTCCCTACAAAAAAAGGAATGTACTAAGTGTTTATATAGCATATAATAACTAAAAAACCGAAAAAGGAAAAAAAAAAAAGAAAAGAAAAAGAAAGGAAAGAAGTTATAGAAAAACAAAGCAATTCTTCTTTCTTTTGACATGCGAGCGTTTACTGTCATATCTCATGTAATTTTATTACGCTCTGCATTCAACATTATACTCGTATATTCACCGTTATAAACGGTATACCCCCCTTGAGAAAATAATAACTAATTAAGATGGTTAGCAAATAATGCAAGCATAATCCCAAATCATATAAATAAAGTATTTACATTAAACCCTGCAGGTTCGGTGCACACGCGCCAGGACCGAGTCTCTCTCCCTCTCCCAACCGTTTCCCTCCAAATTCTAAACGGCCCCTCGTCGTTAAATCAACCCCCCTTAAAAGCCCAAGAATTTAAACCATCATTAAAAACTCATTAAAACCCCATAAGCCACAACTTTATTTGCAGTAAATACTCTTGTTACCCTTAATATAAATACAAACCACATAAAGAGACGGAGGGAGAAGCAAAACAACAAGGGACTTGTACATTCTTCCTTCTCTTTGTCTCTTCCTCCGTTTCCTTTTCTTTATTCTCATCTTTAGACCTCTCTCTCTCTCTCTCTCTCATCAAGATGTCAAATTCACTGCAATTATTCTCTCCTTTAAGGCCAATGCAATTTAAAGAAGAGAAAGAGGAGAGCTCATCATCTTCTTCTTCTTCTTTGCGTGAAGAGAAAGTTCAAGTTAAAGAAAAGAGGTTTGATAGTGATCATGGTCATGATCATGATGATGATGGTTATCATACACCAACTTCTCCGAGCCACCGGATTCCGGTTGCTCTTGAATGCCCTCCGGCGCCCAAGAAGGCTTCTCTCCGGCGACGGTGCAAGAAGAGGAAGGCTTGCTGCCTCATTGAAGTCAAGGACGTGGAGTTGATCTTTGCTGCAAAGATCAATGATGGCGATAGGAGCAAGAAGGTCAAAGAAGAAATCGTTGCTAATGAATGATTTTATATTGTGTGTTCACGTAAATTAAACAGAGAGATAGATGATTTTTTTTCTCCTTTTTTTTAATGATTTATAATGGATTGTTTTGATCAATTTTATCTTATTTTTGTGTGTGTGTTTTTAGTTTTTGGATTGTTTGATATTTGGGTTTGTAAAGGAAAGGAAAAGTTTTTTTTTTTATGTTTGGAGTGCCATAGGATTCTCTTTGTAATAGAAGTTTTTATGTTTGTCAATAGGAATTAGTTTCTCTTTCTTCTTCTAGAGTTTGCAAAGGATATTATCTTGGTGAAGAATTGAAGTTGGTGTATGTGCAGAAAATATAGCCTCCTAACCTTTTGCATATAGGTTAATCCTTTATGTATATATTTGGATTGTTTTGATCAATTTTCTCTTATTTTGTTATTGTTATTGTTCTTAACCCTTTTTTTTTATTTTTTGTGGTATTTGGCTTGTTGGGGTAGGACAACTACGTACAGAGAAATATCCAGCACAGATGCACCTAATTTGTAAAGAAAAAGAAGAAAAGGTTTCATATTTGAGTGCATAGGATTCTCTTTGTTATGAAGCTTTCTAAACAAGTATTTGTTTCTCTCCTCTTTGGATGTTAAACTTGAACAAACTGCAGTCTAAAGCTATTGTCTTCATGAAGAATTTTCAGAGAACCGCTGTCACAGCTGTAAATACAATGAAGCTTACAAGTCCTTGGATCAAATTAATTTGTTCTCATAAAGAAAATTTAACATCTTTAGCCTCTTGAATAGGTTACTTACTCCTTTATAGCTTTAGAAAAGGAAAATAAAGACTCCGCAATGGATTGCACAGCTATACTCCTCTTTTGCTTTATTTTGATGTACATACGTAAAAGTTTGGTTTAATTATACATTTGCCCTTTTCTGCTCCGCTTCAGTTGTATTGTTGAGTTCAGAACTGCTGCTTTTGGGGTTCTAGAATCTGAACAAGCCCACAAAACATAGGAAAAGATGAGGGAATGTGACCCATATCCACAGCAGCTGTATTCTTGGGATCTGTGTGATTCTTGGTAGTTCAATTGTTACATTAGGGGTTGTTTGGTTCGTTTTTTAACTCGGTGGAAAAGTTTTACACAGCCTCCCCATCAGATTTTTCGTGACCACGTAGGATATAAGCTTTCCGTAGGTTTTTTTTCCCATCTTTGGTTCGCTAGGGTTGAAGAAGGGAAACTCGGTGAAAATCGCCGCCACATCAGATTTTTTTCTCTCCACCAATTCCTTCCTCAACCATGTGAAATCGACAAAAACTACAGCCACATCGGCTTTTTGCCATATAAACAAAAATTTTCCCTTTTTTTTTCCATGCGAACCAAACACAAGAAAAATAAATACATTGGTTTCCCACCATTTTTTTTGTGCGAACCAAAACGAAACAATCTATTTCTTGGAAAAGTTTAAAAAACTCAAAACTTGTGTTTTCGTACATGGAAATGCATTTTCCTATATCTAGAAAACGAACCAAACAGCCCCTTACTGTAAAGATTTACAGATTTACAGTAATATAACAATTCATGACAGTGATGGAGCAAATTGCAACCATGGTTAAATTTCTCATCTTTAAGCTTATTATGAGAGTTAAACTCAGAGGTCATTACTGCAACAACGATACATTAGGTGTCTTTAATTTTTTTATAGACCAAAGCCTGATGTTTTTATGTTAAATAAAAAACGATCATGTTTAAATGTTCGGATACACCAAATTCTGCAATTGAAATCAGTGACGGAGCAAAAAATCGCAAGCATGCCTAAATTTCTCATCTTTATGCTTATCATGAAAAGTTAACTCAGAGCTTCTTCCTGCGACCAAATTTCTGAAGTTTTTGTAAGGATCATCATATTTACATTCAGTTTTTAGATTAAAGTCTGCCACCAAATCATGATAATTAAAGAGTTGAGGCTGGCATGGTTACCATCATCATTGCATTAGACTGAGTAATAATGAAGAAAGACACACCATTTAATAATTAAGGAAAAGAGAAAGCTAAAGGAACCTGGAATGCCAGCAAGTGGAACAAAGTTCATACGGAAGAGAAGCATTTTTTTTTTCGCTTAGCATCCAGTCACCAGATTGTACTTGTTTCAGCATCCACAGCTTTTCATGCAGGCTATCAACTTGCAGATGTATCAAAATCCAGGCATTTTACAAAATGATCCGAAGCCTATGGTCATAATAATTGAAGCAACTGAAACCAAGTTTGCATCGACAACAGGCGGGGTGAGTAACTTTCAGAGAATTAGTCTAGAAACTTCATAATTGATTAACTTGATCTGACAAGAATACCAAACTGAAACGTGCGCATTTGCATGCTACTTAATACAATCCGAATAATTGTAGTACAGAGCAAAGTGCTACAGTAAACAAGGTTTTGCAAATTTTGATCAACCCCTGGATCAGCAGACCTTTTTTACTCCTTAGATGAAAGGAGGAAGAATCACCCATCGTCGTGGATATCTAGGTCTTCCATCTTTGCCATTGAACAACTGCAGAGAAATGATTCCAGAGTAAGCAACAACTAAAAAAGGAAGAAATAAAAAATAGCAAGGTTATGGGAGAATGCATGAGAGAGACTCTACAAACTTTTTTGATATAAGAAACTGAAAGCAGAGAGATATGGATCATATAGCATGAAAAGGTCGATTCTTGTATTTGCATAGCTAAAATGAAGGTGCGCTTCTGGAGCCCTACGTGATCGTAGAATATCAATGAAATCGAAGGAAAAATTCAACATGATAGTTATAACACCAACAATGATTTAGGGATAAAAAACGTTATGCAACTAAGAAAGAAAGTGCAATAATGAGTTGGCAGAAACGAGAACGTTTTTGATTAGTTCCTGTATCAGGAATTATGGATGTGGAAACAGATCCTAAAAACTAGAGACAAAGCCTTAGTCTTCAGTGGAGGTATTGAAAATCTGAAGCAAATGATTAGTTCCTGTATCAGGAATTCAAAAATTCAGATGTCTGAGCTCTATCATACTCTCTCCCCTGCATCAAGCATAGTACCATAGCATAGCACAATCTGGGAGGGAATATGCCATCCTAAGCACTCCTTTGTGAGCTGGTTAGCTGTGCAAAATAGACTGCGTACTCAAGATAGACTACTTAGATGGGGAATAATTATCCGCAACACTTGCTGCTTATGTGCAGGAGCTGTTGAGGAGAGCAGAGATCACTTATTCTTTGATTGCTGCTACTCAAGTGATGTCTGGTTGCTTGTGATGGATTGGCTGAAATTTACATGGAGATCTTGTGTGGAGTCACATTATGAATTGGTATTGTCACAATTTGAGGGGGAAGGGGTACAAGCAAAGAATCAAGAGGATGGCTCTATCTTCAACACTATATAGTGTTTGGATTGAGAGAAATAACAGGATCTTCAAGAATAAGAGCAAAAGTGTCGATCAGTTGTTTAGGGAAATAAAGATCAACATGCTGTACATAGTTCTTAATAGCACAAATTTGGTTGAAGGGAGAGTGGATAATGTCATTGTAAATATATAGAGTAGCCTGTTAAGTTTGTAATCTCAGGTTATGAGTATCTTGATGTACTCTCATTTCATATATTGGTGAATGAATAAAGTTTTTTTATTGACCAAAAAAAAAGAAACGAGAACGTTATGATGAACTTGTGTATATGAAGAGATAAAAGAGAGAAAATGAGCGGTGATGAGAGAATTTAGTTGGAAACAATTAAGAAGGATTTGATACAGGTTATGAGAGCAAATGGAGCTTCATAGAGCTGAATGGGAGAACACGATTCATATAGTGGACCCCAAAAATTTTGGAATAAAGGCATGGTTGTTGTTGTTGTTGTTTATATAGCTCATAAGATGTGAAAATATATAAGAAAAGCCAAAGCAGCATATAGTTTGGAAGAAAAATAGTAGTATTTTACCTTCTTCAACCTGCGGTGCTTAGCAAAGGCCCAATTAGTCATAATGGAAGCAGCCACAAGAAGGAAAACATAACCAGCTACCGTCTGTGTTGCAACATTGAAGCCTAGCCACTGGTAAATCTCGGTTGTGTAGTTTGCACATGTCACAATGTTGAACAAAAACCCACGAGGAATTTGATACCCACCATTTCCATCTGGGCTTCTAAGGTTCCTCAAAATAAGATGGCAATACAAGTTTGAAACTTGGCAGATCAATCCAAAGCCAAACCCAATTTTCATTTGCAGATCATTCACAGGGGTATAAAGTGGGTGGTTCACATAGTAAGCAATGTATGCCCCAAATGTCCAATAATAAGCACAGTTTCTGAACACATTGGAGAGAGGTGAAGTTGCATGACTGAATCTATGCACAAAGAATGTCTCCATAATCCTTTTGAAGTAGTGAAAACACCAGTAATACATAGCGTAAGTCTGGACTGGATGAATCACTCGCTCCCCTTTGTAACCAAAGTACTTGTACACCGGGAAGTAGTAAAAAATAGGGTATATAACTAAAGGACCCAGGTACTCGAAAAAGAATAAGGTGCTATAATACACTTGCACACCTAAATCCTTGAATACTACGGTGAGGTTGTTTGAACTTGCGTCACAATAGTCTTTGAGAGCTTTCTTTGGACTGAGGACCACAGGTTTGCCCTGGGTTCCAGGTTGCAGGGGAAGGGTGAGACGCTGCCTAGAAGGATAGAATTTTTTTGCTGCAATATGTAATATAAAAAATTAAGATAATTAAGATATCAGATTTGATTAAGTTCAGTCGTCAAAGAATTGTTTAGAATAAGTTGTCCAAAAGTTGGTAATATGAGACTATTCTTGACAGTGCATTTCTAATGAACAGCAGGTCTGGATAGAAATTTAAGCTAGCGATTAGATGCTTTTGTAATAAGCAGCTTATGCAAAATCCAATGGTGCCTATGAATAAAAAAAGTTGTAATTTTTCTCATACAACCAAAGAATTTGGCGAGCACAACAGAGTCTTTTCAAGAATTTAAGTTTGCAAGGAAAGCTTTGGTAACTCTTTTTATTTTTATTTTTCACTGTTGGACTATACTCGAGATGAATAGCCCTAGAGAAAACTTAAAACTCCAGAAAGAAGAAAATGACATGATTTTGCAATTCCAGTTTTCACTCCTGAGGTTGTTGGCCTAACACGTACACTCCACAGCCCTCGCGATCTGATCATCATCCCATGCTATTTAAGAATGCTAGGCATTGGTTAGACAAAGGAATTGCTGAATCATCTTCTCACGTAGAGGAAAATATTTCCTTGGTCCATAAGATGATCTTGTCATGTCATATCGGCAAGTATTTTCTGCTTTTGTTGTCAACAATCTAAACCAAGAACTAAAAGGAGTCTAATGCCCTTACTAGAGCTACACCTTTACAAGAGGCGACGGGTAGACACTTGACATCAAGACCAATCAAGTACGTAAAGCATCACTTCTATGGCTCATAACCTACTCTCTTCTCTGAAAATTGCAATGAAACTCCTATTCGGGCCAACCAGTTCCCAAAACCCAAACAAAAGGTTTTCACTTAACTAAGGCACATGCACGAACAAAGTGGCAAGCCACTCGTCGCTCTAAACACCTCACAGGAAACTCAGCACCGAGCTCAGTCCACCTTACACATGAATAGTAAGCAACAGCAAGACAACTGATCTCGGAAAGGAGAAACAAAAGTTTGTAACGTCCAAATAGGACATCAAACTAGCTAGCCCATGATTGATCCAACAATCAGCCAATCCATACCCTATTCATTCTGCTGAAATGCTAGCTAGGGCCACCTTGAACATTTTGGATTAGGAAATCCATATTCTATTGTTGAAAACCATTAATTTCATATCCACTTGATGCAATAAACATCAAGATTTACAAATATTTTGGTATATGTATATTATAAGCCGTGAACATTATCAAGATTGTATAAGGGTTTTCATCAGTTAGTCCTCCTTTGTTTTATACTTTTATCACCTATAAATTTAATAAAAAATTCAAAACTTTATTACTCTTGCTAAAAGTTTTCCCACTGTGAAAAACTTAATAAATAAGTCCCAGTTGACACATTGTAAAGGAGAAAACAACAAGATACAGATGTATTGTTTGATCCAAAGAAGTATTTTAACTATAAGAATTTTCACTAGATATATATAATCTCCTTAATTTAAATTTTAAGCAAACTTGAACTATTAATACAAATCCTACATCCATATTCTACAAAGACTAAACATTACATGATATCCAGCTCTGAAAAGAAATCAGTAACTTGAGCGAGAAACCTGGTACAGTGAAATTTTAAAGCACTTGATACCTTATAAAATCTATGCCAATTATGCCAAAGTTACTGTCATATTTACAGTTTTTGTGTCTTACACTCGATACTCAAGAAGTTTGCAGGATAAAAGAAATCAGATATATAAATAAATGTTAACAAAAAATTCTCATTTCTGTAATTATTATACAAATAGATAGGAACCTAACAAGTGTATGTGGATAAAAATGAGCACAATAGAGTTGAAGACAATGGTGGTAATCGTTTATCTACACATATCAACTGTTGAATATCAACTGAATACAAACTAGCTTCCATCATCACTTACTCATACTGAATTCACACCATATTGATAATTTATTTCCATTCAAAAATTGAAAACTGATTCCAAAAATGGTTTTTTTTTAATACTTCCATTTGATAAACGATCCTGAGTTGAAACAATAAAAAGAATTAAGCAAAAACATGAATCGCTTACTTCTAGCATGAATCTCCTCCTGCAAGTCGCTGACAGTAGCCTGCAAATCCCAAAAAAAAAAAAAAAAAAAAAACACGAAACCCCCAAAAAAAAAAAGAAACCCATTACCAGATCCAAGAAAAAGAAGAGAACTTTACCGAATCATTGAGCTCAACCCCGCCCTTGACGAGCTCTCGGCCGCTACGAGAGACAACGGTCACCTTCATAATTTTACCCAAGTATAAAATAAAATTCAAGCGAACCCCAATGAGAGTTTTTTTTTTTTTCGAGAGCAGAAATAAGTCGTGAAGAGGTTGGGTCTATTTATTAGGGGAGTGGGCTTCTGGGCCTGGCTGAGATCCAATCAAACAGTTGGGTTGGGTTAGGTGGGAGTTAAGTGGGGGTCATGACTCAACAGTTGGAAGTTGGAGAGCTAACCTCACTAAAAAAATAATTGTTGGATAAATTGCAGACGTATTTCCTTTAATCTTTATATTTTCATTAATTTTTTTTTGTCGAATGTTTCGAGCCATATGGTAGGAGGGGTGGAGGGAGAAATAGTCTGAAGATTTCAATTGTCTTGTGTCTTGTTCAAACACTCTGTATGTTTTTATGCGTTGATTGTTCGGATAAGATTTATATTGCTTATCATCTTACAAATTACTCATTGTCACTTGCTATGATTGGAGGTGGTATTTTGAGTACAAACTCATCTTTTATGGCGGCAAGTTGTTTGGATTCGATCAAAACGAAATATAAGACAATTTGGAGATTTTGTACGAAATCAAAACAATTTCGAGAAGTGTAATCTACCCTTTTTTTTTCTCAAATTGAAAGAGACGAGGGCTATTAATATAAACGAGAGGGTTATCTGTAATTTTCCAAAAGAAAAAAGAAGAAAAAGAAAAGAAAAGAAAATTACTTAAGCCAACACTGACTGCTCTTTATAGATAAAGGTCTTTTAATGGCAACGGTTGTAGGTTTGTTAGCTGTCTCCTTCCCTTGAGCAATACTTAAGTTTCATAGTAAAAACTCCTACTCACCAATTTTTAGTTTGATGTCATTTTCCTCCTTTTCCCAGGAATATGGCATTATCAGGGTATACTTATAATAAGTGTACCAAGTTTGGCTAGGTTATAATTTAAGGGAAGGACCCTTTTTTTTTTGTTGTTGAAACCAAAAAAAAAGTAAATAGATACATTTATTTTGTTAAAATTTGACCTTGCACCCAAGTTCAAGTGTTTCTATGAATTGTTTACACACATGGAAAGCTAAAAACATATATTTTGGAATAAAATAGAGTTCATCTTTGATCTTTAAATGCCTACATAATCAAAAAAAGATTCACTATAGGCATGACAAGAGAAGGGGAATTTTCTTACTTGCCAATTCACATAAACTTTCGTCAGAAAATGTGTGGGTTACTAGGGGCTGTTTGTTTTGTTGTTTTTGAGAGGTTTTAAGAGTGAAAAGCTGACATTTTCTGACAAAATATCAGCTTTCCACCCTTAAAAAAAATTACCCAAACGCGCCCTAAACCATAGCGGTGCGCAATTTAATGACCAAACCAAACTTAGATCAATCAGTTGGTCGGCAACGATACTAATCAATGAAGTAGCGCTAATGACACAGACAACCGCAACAAAATGAATAGATGAGTTCGAAAACAACTCTCGGTTCAACTTATTAGGTGTAAACTGAACTCAAGCTCAACCGACACATTTTGCTAAATGAGGCATCAGAAGATAAAACTATTGCTAAAGCTTCACTCTGTTACTCACATATATAAGGAGGTGAACCTCACGTCATGCGTGGGTGTGCTGTGTGGATGTCTATGTGTGCGACGAGCATAGGAGACCCCGGTGTATTTCTCAGTAATTGATTTAGCAAAAGGAACAGTCATTGCATACCCATCAGAAACACATGTACACATAACTATGATCATATCCTGGTATCGCGCTGCTTCTAGACAAATTTTTACCTGTACTACACCGAAATGCACATTGGCGCGGTGCTGGAGAAATTTGTGAACAGATAAAGGTAGTACAGAAAAAAGAAACATGCAGCAGAAATGGGAATTGTGACGCATGTCGAAGTGGTTCTTCCTACGCAACTTTTCCCATCAGAAATAGCTTGCCCTGTTCACTTGATCTTCTTCACAATGTCCTCCACAACTTTCTCCATGTCAAGATTCTTCATCGGTGTGAAAGGCCGCTTCATGTCCTGCATATGATCAAAGATGAAGAAAAGGGGGGCAATTAGTTATTGACATTTGAATGTAGCTTTCTCTTCCATTTGGACCTCTATCAATGCAATTGAAACTCTCATTGTAATACACAAAAGACGGGCGTATTGATGTATCCATGGATGTCAGCATTGCAGAATTGGAGGGGGAAAATTTTCAAGAAAATGGAACGAAGAATCTGCTTGGTATCCCTATTTACTCGGGCTACAAACTATAAAGATGCATGGGGTACGAGATGCATTTATACAAGTAAGGCTGGACATGCATAAAAGCAGTATCAGCATGATGGTCTATTTGTATTAATTTACAGCAAAAATATTGCACAAAACTACAATGAAATTCAACTGCAGAAACGTATCATGAACTCTTGAAATTTATTGCTACAGACATGTACATCTTGGATAAAAGGTCTAAACTATCATAGTAATTAATATATATGAAGCTAGAGAAGGAGAGTAATATAAAAGACAAAGTACACAAGGGCACAACATATGTGATATGTCAAGTGCGAAGCGCGTGACAACTTACCTAACAGTGGCTAGGCATGGTAGTTTTCTAATAAAAAAAGTTTATGGTATATGTCCCAAATTCCCCAAGTTCATGGTAGTTTTGTGAAATTTACGCCTACAATTTGCTAGCAAATGGATTAGCAGAACATTGAACTGTGTGCAAAAATCTCTTTTCAGGAACAAAAAAATTCCCTCTTGTAGCTAGCTTTATTTTTTCATGTCTTGTCAATAACCATTAGAATCTTGTCACAAAGTCTGATCCGCAATTCATTGTCAATTACATTGTAGAGCATTAAGTGCCTTTTGAAGCAAACCAAGCAGATGAAGTGCTATTAGTACCATGTCCAGAAGAGTAAACTGCTAATAAGAGAATATGGAGCTTGCTCTAAAAGATGATTACAAAACATAAAATCATTAAAATAATATACATGAGCAGAACGTAAATAACCGGGATAAGTTTATGTAGAATAGTAAAATTTCCATGGTGATAGCTCAAAGCATCAGACATCTAAGAATGTGAAATATGTATAAATGGATCATGTGTTTGAGGTTTACCAGAAGTGAAATGACAATTTCCCCATCAGCCTTGCGAACCTCAAAGCATCCCCGACGAGGCTGTAGTCAAATGAATAATCCGCGTATTAGTCAAATAACGACATCAAAGAGCACCTTGGTTACAACTTTACAGGACAATTACAATTGCCTATATCTGACTTGATCATAACACCCTATTAGCTTGGAGATTTCAATCTTTGCAATGCCTCCTTACCTCAATGGTAAAGAATTTTATGCCCTCGCATTTAATATTACAAGAGCAGTGCATAGTAGAAAAATGTCTATTTACGACAACGTTAGACAGTGGATGAACTATAAATGTAACAGTATTCTAAACCACCCATTCGATGCAAAAGCCTAAGCTGAGCATTATGGGAAAGAAATTTATCTCAACTTATTCAGACTTAGTCTGTCCCTCGGACATACGCCATCGCGCAGTAAGACCAGAAGGAAAATGACTCGGAAAGACGAGACACAGGACTAAACAAAGGACAACATAATTTTGTAAATTGACAATACAACGTCTGCACCATGTTAAATAAACACGATGACCAAGGCTTGCGAGAATGGGTTGTGGGTCATTGGCATATGCCAATAAATCTCAGCAAGTAAGTTATTGAAGGTTTCATAGTTTAGACACGAGACTGAGAATGTTTGAAATTCCTGGAATATAGCATCTCCCCTCTTTTCATGCTACAAACATATAGTGTGGTGCGACAAAAAATGCGGAACTACTGACAGTAGATTTCAACAATGGATATAACAGCATAAAATAATTTGACATAGCATGATAAAACTTTACAAGAATGAAAGTCAATGCCAAGTAGAGCATTAATATGAACCTTCTCAGGATTGAGTATCACTTCAATTCCAGGTATAGCACTTTCTAAACCGTCTTTCACAGCAAATGCCCTCGTCTTGAATGAATTACATTGCTTGCTGAGAAGGTGGGAAAAAGAGGAAAAAGGAAAGTTAAGTAGATTGTTTCACTTCTTTATACAAATACATACTAACTTGCAAGCAGTTTTGGGTTTTGAGTTTTGAGACATATGCGAATTATACTACATTTCAGTTTGTAAGAGCCAACATTAAGTCCTTTAAAGTTCATACCAAAAAGGTGCAGTGACTGATCAGAAAAGGGCTCATGATTGCAAATATGCTTCCATGATATTAACTTGCCTACTTATAAAAAAATTACGAAGTTAATGGTCAAAGAAAAAAGCAGTAAATATAGAAGGTTATACTTATTTAGCAGTTTTCACAAGTACGTTAGAGCATCTCCAACAGCTTCTCCATTTCTCAATTTTGGAGAATTTAGTTAGGTTTTTGGCCCAACAGATTCTCCATCTCATTCCCCAAAATAGGGATGGAGGAGAAAAAATGGGGAAGCTTCCCCAAATCTGCAGCATTCTCTAAATTTTTGGAGGAAAAAATAGATTCTTCAAAATGGATGGGGAAGCTTCCCCAAATCTGCAGCATTCTCTAAATTTTTGGAGGAAAAAATAGATTCTTCAAAATGGAGAAGCTGTTGGAGTTGGTGTAAAAATTAGTTGGAGAATTTGACTTTTGCTTCCCCATTTTGAAGAAAATTTTGGAGAAGCTGTTGAATATGCTCTTATGGAAATATAAAGATTGCATGAAGCTAAATATTACTCACTAGTAAAGACTAGAACAATCGTGTACACTGGGACACGCAAAATTTCAGATAAAAGTGCTTAACCTAATATAACTCATAAAAGCAACACCCACTGAACGTAAATAGGATACTAGATACGAACAATCGTGACTGATCAATAATTAAACACTAGGAAACACTAATGTAATACAAGAAATAGTAACTATGCATAGTTATAATCTATTATTTACTGTTGTACCAAGAGGCTTACACAAGTTGAAGCCTGTTTCCAAGCCAAAAAATTAAAAAATGTGAAAAGAAGAAATTCACTATCTCTTTGACCTCACACTAGACATGGTATCTGAGACGTAGGCACCTTTTCGTCATTGAAATTTTAGTAGTGATAACTAGACTGCTAGTTATTAATATTCTTGTACCGTAAAACACAGAAATGTGCAGTCTTTCCTTGTGAATTACAATTAGAAATCATATGGACCCCACATTTCGTGTTTCAAGTACAAAAATAGTACAACTCTTGTAATCTAGTCCGCTCTACTCTTAAAATTTAGTGTGTTTGTCCAGGTCCAAAAAGGCATGTGAGTTTAATGGTGATCAAGCATGGTGCTTGTTCGGATGCTTAAAAACACGTCCAGTTTTTCTATATTTTACTTTAAAACATGCATTAAATGAAGTATAACATTCCTTAAAATTGGCAAACCTTGGGTTATGTTATCGTTATTCTGTGCTCTGAGGTTCTCGGTTATGTAGGTGCAAAAATTTAAACATGCATATTTATCTGTGTTAGACATGTATCTTGCAGATAAATCGAAATTTCAACAATTCGTCATGTTACACACAGTGACGTCTCAAATTTGATATGCATGCTCCATACAAACTTTTGAAACATTGTTAGAGTCACATTCACAAGGATTTCATGTTTTAAACCCTCCTCAACTAGATCTAAACCTATCAAACATAAAGTTTTAAAGCTCTCTTCGACTAGAACTACTTCTTTGTTTCTTCAAAAGCCCCTACAAACTTGGGGCAAGTACAGAAAGGAGTTGGTCAATGCTCAAAACTCAAAAGGCTTGGTGGATAATGTTTCTTTATTCTATTTATATTATCCAAAAAGCCATTTTTAGTTGAAATTAATTGGCGTGGCAAATATCAAACTGACAATAAGAAGCAAATCAAGAAACTCTTGACTTTATTTGAACAGAGTGATAACTGGATGTGGAAACAAATCTTGAAAAAGAGAGATAAAGCTATGACTATTTGTGGAGGGAGTGATAACCTGTTGCAGCTCTTGAACTCTTGCTTTGGTAATTCTAAAGCTCAGTTATCAACTCTGTATCATTCCTTTTCCCCAGTTACTCAAAGGGTGTCTTGGCATGACACTGTATGGGAAAAAACGAGCTATCCAAAACACTCCAAAACCGAGTGCTTACACAAGATGGATTGATGAGGAGGGGAGTCATAGATACAAATGTATGCAGCTTGTGTTCAGGTGATAGCTTGGAAAGTCGGAACCATCTTTTTTTTTGAGTGCAGGTTTTCTAGTGAAGTGTGGAATTGCATCATGAATTGGTTAAAATTCACTTGGAAATCTTGTGACTGGAGAATTCTATTGAATTGGTATTGCACAGGAATTGAGGGGTAAAGGATTCAAACAAGGAATCAAACGCATGGCATTTTCTGCAGCAATTTACAGGATTTGGGGTGAAAGAAATGCTAGGAATTTCCAAAAAAAGCAAAGGAGCATGGAGTGTTTGATTAATGATATTAAGATGGATATTCTCGTGTCCAATCTTAATGCACCAATATCGGATGAGAATAAGAATTGGTTACGTTCCTTGTAAAAGCTCTGTGCATATAGAGTTTTCTTTAGAATTTCCTTTTTGATTGATTCAGGTTTTGGATATCTAAATGTCAAGGAGATACTTGATGTACAAAAATTTCTCATATTTGGTAGATGAATAAAAATTTTCATTGACCCAAAAAAAAAAAGAGTGCAAACCCTAACCCTAACTTCAGTTAAGGAAACGCTCACCAAGCTTCGATGATGATGGCCTCCGACGATCCACCGGCGGCGGTGGCGGCCGGAGGCGCCACGTCATCGGCCTTCTTCTCCTTCCCCTGGCGACCTTCTGCTTCTTAGCCGGTGAAGACCTCGCCGGCGGCGGAACCACCCGCTTCCCGGCGTTGGCCCTCCTCGTCCTCCTCGGGATGCGGTCACCGCCGCCGCGGTGGCGCGTCACCGCTCTTCTTCTTCGGAGCCATTCTCTCTCTCTCTCTCTCTTCTTTCTCTCTCTAGAAATGAAGCCTTTCGATGAAAGCTGAAAAAAAACTAGAACTATAATCAATGGGTCCTTTTCCCGCCACAGGTAACCCTGTCTTCGGATGCGGTGAATCGCCGTGAGGATAAGGTGACGACACCGTGCTTCCAGGCCTTGAGAGATGCGGGGGGTGAGAATAAGAGGCGGAGGACGGGATACATCCCGAGCAGTGGATTTGAAAAAGGCTGTTAAATCTACTGAAATGTCATTCTGCGGGGGTACAAATGCAAAGGCCAAGAATCTACAGGCCATGTGTGGGCCGGGCCAGGTTCATAATGAAGGAATTTAGCCCAATCGAAGCGCATGTAAAATTCATGAGAAATTTAGGCAAATTACCTATATACCCAACTAATAATTTAAAATTCAGGTTTTTCTTTTTTTGGAAATCGCGTAAATATAAGAAAACCACGTTTGATGTTTAGGGGCTGTTTGGTTCGTTTTTTAACTCGGTGGAAAAGTGTTACACCGCCTCCACATCAGATTTTTCATGGCCACGTAAGATATAAGCTTTCCGTCGGTTTCTTTTCCCATCTTTGGTTCGCTAGGGTTGAAGAATGGAAACTCGGTGAAAATCATCGTCACATCAGATTTTTTTCTCTCCCCCAATTCCTTCCTCAACCTCGTGAAATCGACGAAAACTACAGTCACGTCGGCTTTTTGTCATATAAACAAAAGTTTTCCCTTTTTTCCATGCGAACCAAACACAAGAAAAATAAATACATTGATTTCCCACCATTTTTTTTTTGCGAACCAAAGCGAAACAATCTATTTTTTGGAAAAGCTTGGAAAACTCAAAACTTATGTTTTTGTACATAGAAATGCATTTCCCTATATTTAGGAAACGAACCAAACAGCCCCTAATTAATTTATACATAAATCATTTCTAAAGTGGTTTTTTGTTGCAATGAATCATCTTTCAGCTAAAATTTTCACTAAAAACCTAGAATTATATTTTAAAAACATATTCAAGACATATGATTCTCTCTTTTTTTTTTGCTTAAATCTTGTTATGATCACTATCACTATCTTAGACTTTAATTTTTTTTAACTTTGTTTGTGATCTCTATTGGACATATTTGACTAAGAGCTAGGTAGTTGATTCTAAAAAAACACGCTTTAAAACTGGTTATGTATAAATTAAAAATGAAATATGCTTTTTACATAATTATCCTAACCTAAAGATGATCTATACAGGGAAAAACTCTAAAACGGTATCTTGCAAGTCTAGATTCGAGTTAAATGGGACCATCAATACTTACATTGGTACAATAAAAAAGACTTTAAAATTGTAACATAATACTCTAAATATAAACTTGACAAATGTGAGAAAAGTTTTTACCATCATCCCAGTTCTACTTTTTATTCAGTTCTAGTTGATTAACAATGTATAATTTTATCATAGCCCTAGTTCCAATTAACTAACACCATAAAAAATTGTTCCACAAATTATCCCGGTTATAGTTTTAAATTCATGTCATCCATTTAAAATAATTGGTGCAGTAGAAGAGTTACAGAGAGGATAGTCTTCTCATCATTTTAAACTTTACCTTATTTTTTTCGTAACTTTGTGATGAAGGCCAGTGCATTTGAGTGGACCGGCTCATATATGCCTTTTTTTATTTTTTTCCTTTCCCCACGTTCTTTCTTTTTTTTTTCTTTTTTATGAAGTTCTGATAAATGTCATGGTGATTAATAGTTTCGAGCGTTTTATTTGTATCTTCGTAAATATTTGGTTTCCCTCATTCATTGGAATTTATTTGACAAAATAAAAAAAAAATTCAATCCTCTACAACTATGATCTAGATTTTTGAAACCTATATAATTCAAGAATGTGAAAATTTTGAAAGCGTGGGATGTGGCATTGCAATTAGGCACTTTCAAACCAACATTTTCATTTACAATTTTCAATATTTCTTTCTTAAAGGATCTGGATGAAGTAAGGACTAACTAGAAATCTTAATGAATCTTTTCCACTTTTGGAAAAATAATCAGATTATGTTTGTAAAATAAATATATATATATTTTTTATGAACTTCTTTATATATTTGTTTCCCGATTTTCCACCTCAATCACTTGCTGATCGATCAGACACATAGAACTAATCACTTAAATCACGAGTTAATCTATAAGGCCCCGTTTGGCAAAGGGTTAATGAAGAAGGGTTAGAGAGAAGGATTAATGTACTTAGCCCATTTGATAATCCGAAGGACTAAATTATTAACCCGTTAAATAAGTTTTATTTTAGCCCTTATGATCAGTTTTAGTGTTTGGGAATAACAATGATTTTGACTATTTTCTTTATAATTAGAAGGGTTAACTCTTATTCTATCTAAATAGGAGTATTAGTAAACCCCTCATTTTGAGGGGTTAACTCATTTTAACCCCTCTAGAGGGGTTAACTTAACCCTTCTATATTTTTTATGTTTGGCAAATTATGGAGGGTTAACTCACTTTAACCCTTATATAGATTTGTTGTGTTTGGCAGGTTAAGAAGAGGTTAAGTCTCCTTAACCCCTCACTTAACCCTTTGCCAAACGGTACCTAAATAAAGAAATCATAAAATTAGTTGGCTCCAATGTCTCACTATATAAAATTGAGTTATGGACCATCCATTGATGAGATAACACGCAAATATTAAGCTAAATCTATATCTAACCTCTTAAACCGGAAAATATTGGCAGTTGGCAGAGGCTCTTATAGCTAATGTAATAAACTCATTCAGTATGCATGAATCAATAATGCATAACCATGTTCATCTGAAATCTATAGCCAACATTTATCACATGTATTAACCATGTTCATTTGAAATAGGTCACATGAACCAAAAATGCAAAATTAACCATGTTCGTCTGAAATCTATACCCAACATTTTTATCGCACGTATTAACCATGTTCATTTGAAATCCACACCCAACATTTTTATCGCGAGTATTAATCATGTTCATCTGAAAATCCGCACCTAACATTTATCGCCTGGGTTTATAGTCGGGGCCTATTATTAAAAGGGGTTGTTTGATTGTTTTCGGAAAAAATCGGAAATGAAAAAATCACATTTCAACTCATTTCAAGAGATTTCAAGATATTTCCCGTATTTTTTTTTTGTTTTGCAATGAAATCACTGTCACGTCACCGCCACGTCACATAAGAAACAAATCCAGCCGCAATAGTAACATTGTTTCGATTTCCATTTCTTGTGTTTGTTTGAACATAAAAAAAGAAAATAAAAATCAGCCACAATAGTAACAGTGTTTTCAGCAATTAAATAATCTGTTTTATTCACGGTCATTGTTTTAACAGTGCTTTTAGTAATTAAAAATTCATTGAAGTGACATTTTCAAGTGTTTTCAGAGTTTTTTGGTATGGAAATACTTTTCTCAAAAATCTGACGTGATATCCTACGTGACACCCTCATTTCTTTAAATCACAAAACGAAATAAACATGTGATTTGAAAATCGGTTAAAATCAAAATCCTATGTGACAGGGAGGGATTTCTTGAAATCTGACGTGGCGGGGGTTCTCAATTTTTTAGGGGTTGTTTGGTTGTATGTTTTTACCATGTAAAAGGATGTAAAGTGTAAAAAAGCGGGCCCCAATGTCAACTTTCATCACTTTCAATTGTTTGTTTGTAGTTGTGAAAATAGTGTAAAATGATTTCATATGCTGATGTGGCTTGTAAAGTGATTTCATGAAAAAAAGACATGATTTTAGGAGAAAGCTAACATTGAAGTTAGGAAAAAATAATAAAAAATAATTCCAACCAATATGATCATTTGAGTAGGGACCACTTTTTACACTTTCCAAACAAACAATTAAAGTTTTATTTTGCAAACCAAACAAGTGTTTTATGATTCAAATGGAATAAAAAACAAACAAAGAAAAGTATAAAAGTGTAATTGATGAGGTGGACAACAACTTTCCAAGTTGTGTCATAAAACACAACTTTACCAACAACAACCAAACAGCCCCTAAAACTCATCACAATAAAAAGAAATCTATACACTTTTATCAATAAAATATTATTTTTATCCACCAACTCATCACATCTCATATCCTTTCTTATAGGGGTGGGCAAAAACCGAAAAAAACAGTTCAACCGAAAAAAACGCCCGAAAAAACGGATCGGTTAACCGAACCGAATTAAATGGATGAGAAGAAGTCTCTAAACCGCCCGAACCGAATTAAATCGGTTTGGATCCGGTTTGAACCCCTGAACCGCCAAAAAAAAAAAACCGACCCGAATTCTGTTGGGCGGTTTAGAGACTAAACTTATACCTCAAAACTTTTCCTATTATCATCCAATAGATTCAAACTGCGCAATGAGCAACTTCAAGCAATGAGTACAACAATATCAAAGAAAAATATCCTTTGAGAACTAAGTAAAGATTCAAACCAATCCAGAAAATTTGTTATGCACATGATGCACTTACAAAAGATGCATATGCTACATTATATGAACAATATCATACAAAACATCACTCCCCCGTGTAATTAAATAAACTTAAACTTTAGTTTAAAAATTTCCCAGAAAAGATCTTGAGAATTACATAAGATTCAAATCAATCACAAAATGTGTTATGTACATGATACTTACAAGAGATAAGCATGCTGTATTATATGAACAACATCTTTAAAACATCAGTTCTCTGCGTAAATATATCAACTCAAAACTTTATTCTAGTAAATATATCAACTCAAAACTTTATTCTAAAGATGATAACCAGTCTAATAAAGCTTTGTTTGCGAGCTCAGGAACCTCATCATGAGGACAATGCTCAGCTTGCAAATTCGCAACATAAGTCTTTGGATAGAACTCTTT